TAAAGATTTCAAAAATTACGACTTTGTGTCTTTTGTTTCCAACTTAAGTGACAAGATTATGTTTTCACTCTTTTAATACCAGTGGTTGAACTAAACAGAGGTAGAAGCCACAGATTACGCAGCCGGCTTGCAAAATTTAGGGAATGGATCTGTTCTTTTAGTGGGTTAAACAGATATTCATTAGTTTTAAAATATGCTAAATTAAATCAAGCAGAAGACTTTAAAAAAACTATTTGTTGTCAATACGAAATTCATAAGAACATAAGAAGAGCCCTGGGCTGGATCAAACCAGTGGTCGATCTAGTACAGCATTTCACACAGTGGCCAATCAGTTCCACTGGGGGACAACAACAGAGATCTTCCCCTTACATTTCCTCCCAGCACTGGTATTCGGAGGTTTACTACCTCTGACCATGGCGGTTCCCTTCTGTCGCCATAGCTAGTAGCCAATGACAGACCGATCCTCTCACTCTTCTCCTTATGTGGAAGGAGGCTGCTTCTTGCAGCACATGAGTATCATCTAAAACAGAGTGCCTTTTTCTTCAGAACAACTGTTTTATTTGTATACAAATTTGTGCAGATTCCTGGATGCATACACACACGGGTTGAAATTAAATCAAAAGAGTTTTTGGCTAAGCATTAGGAAGAATTTCCTGACAGTTAGAGTGGTTCCTCAGTGGAACAGGCTTCCTCAGGAAGTGGTGGGCTCTCCTTCTTTGGAGGTTTTCAAACAGAGGCTAGATGGCCATCTGACAACAATGCTGATTCTGTGAACTTAGGCAGATCATGAGAGGGAGGGCAGGACGGGTTGCCTCAGTGCTTAGTTCTTGTGGCCCTTTCTTACATGCCCAGGCTGATCGCCACTTTGGGGTCAGGAAACAATCCTGGAGGTTTTTTATCATCTACTGGGCATGGAACAGTGGTCACTATGGGTGTGGAGGAGGAGATATTTGTGAATTTCCTGCATTGTGCCAAAGAACTACGAGGCTCTTCCCACACAGTCTGGAAACCACGAAAATACATAACATTTCCTCCTCCATTTCCAAGGGCCAGTAAAAGAGCTTTCATATATACCATGATGCCAAATGAGTTCATGAACCAATGCTCATTGCTAAGAGATGCACCACCAAAACCAAATCCTCTCACATCTCTTTATTAACAAACTCCTGGTCTCACCTGAGCAACCCGTTCCTGATCAACTTTTCTCTCCTTGAGCAAAAGGCAATGTTAAAAATGTACATATATCCTTCTCTCTTCTTCAGGGCTTTTTTTGGCAGAAAAAGCCCAGCAGGAACTCATTAGCATAATAGGCCACACCCAACAGCAGAAGCTCCTTAGCAGATTAGGCCACACCCCCATGCCTTCCCTTGGCTTGCCTGGAGCCCAGGTAAGCTGGCCCTTGGACAGGCCGGGGAAGGCACGGGGAGGCATTTAAATCCCCCCCCGATCCTTCCAGGGCCCCCCCTGACCCGCCCGCCTCGGAATCACTGGGGGGGGGGTTGCTCTCCAGGCCTTCCCTCTGTAACCACACACACAGAGCTTTTGGCTGTAGTGGGTGTGGCCAACTCTGAAGCCAACCGGAACTCCATTCCTGTGCGTTCCTGCCCAAAAATAGCCCTGCTCCTCTTCCACAGTACAATATTTATGCCTGCCTGAACGGACATTCCCTATCACCAATTCATTACTTTGCAGCTTAGTGCTGAGACTCCAGTCCAAATACAAATCTGCTGTATTTGTGCAAGCAGGCATCATTTGGATGTATAGGAACAAATACCCAACTCTCCTCTTTTCCTTTTCTAGACCAACTATCCAGAAGATAAAGCTGTTCCATTAGCCATGCAATAGATACTGGGCCTCCTGTGGGCACTTTATTTGATGTGGAACAAAATTTGAGTCTAGTAGCACGTTGGATAACAATGAAATGAGATTTGATTCACAAAAGCTTATACTCTGGGGGAAAAAAATACTGGTCTCTATCGTGCTTCTGGACTCAGATTTTGTTCTGCTAGTTCAGGTTAATAAGGTACTTGAAACTTATTTGATGTGGCAGATAATTGGAGGATGGACCTGCTTACCTGCTTTCTGTTGTGCTGCAGTATCCCCACAATGAACAGCTGGAAGATAGGATTCCACTACCAGTTAAGTGGGGATCCACAAGCACAGAGGGTCAATAAGGCCATACAAAGCTTATGAGGTTGGCCTGGCTCAGCACACACTGAACTGCTCTGTCACGATGCACCCCAACAGTTTGAAAACCAGCCTGCACAGTGGTAGCTCCACTGACAAGCCATTGACCTGAATTCAGCAAAAATTATCTTGTAGAAACTGAGGGTCTTAAGTCATATACCCACATATCTCCTCCTTCACAGTCCATTCCTAAGCAGAGTTCCACGCTTCTAAGTCCAACGAAGTCAATGAGGCATAGAAAGGTATGGCTCTGCTTAAGGCAGCATTACCAACCCCATCTATCAGCCCTCTTCCGGGCAGTGTTCCCTCTAAGCTGAGTTAGTGTGAGCTAGCTCACAGTTTTTTAGCCTCCAGCTCACACATTTTTGTCTTAGCTCAGGAAGGATGGCTCCAGAGCAAATTAATTGATGCAGCAGCCAAATCGCTCGATCACAACTTTAATGCCAGTAGCTTACAAAGTAGGTTTTTTTGCTCACAAGGCTCCACAGCTTAGAGCATAGGTGTCGAACTCATTTGTTACGAGGGCCAGATCTGACATAAATGTCACTTTGCTGGGGCGAACCACGTATGCCATAAAACGTAATGCCAGGTACAGGCGATATAAACTGTAAGGGCAGCAGCTGGTAAGCTCCAAGTTGGTGTATCCTCACTGTAAGCCCTCATGCGTTGGGAGGGAGGTTCAAAGAAAAACTTGCATGAGCGGACTGAACAGCCAGTGGTGCAGCACTGGGCAGACGCTCCTACGCTGCCTGACTCCTGCAGACAAAGTTGTCCCACCATGCTGAAGCCACAATTGGGGTGGCTTCGCCCACTCCCCCCGAGCAGTCTTCTGTTCCCTCCCTTGCACTAGATGCTTGCGGGCTGCATAAAAGCCCTGGACGGGCCGGATCCAGCCCCCGGGCCTTACGTTTGACACCCCTGGCTTAGAGGGACCATTGCTTCTGGGCATAGCGCAAGGGGACATTGGGAGCGGGAGAGAGATATTTGTGAATTTCCTGCACTGTCCAGGGGGAGGTTGGACTAGATGACCCTGGAAGTCCCTTCCAACTCTATGATCACTCCCTCCCACCTGTGGCCCCTTCAACAGTGAGCAGGTACGAAAATCAGATTATAGAGTAAAGAAAAGTGCATCCAAGCATGCCCCATGGGGCTCTCTTCCTCACCACTCTATCCCACACACTTAAAAATAAGGAGCTTAGTTTCCTTCCGGAATAGCTGGCAGAGTCCTTGCGCCTCTCTCCTAAAAGATTTGTATTCAGAGAACACAGTCCGAAAATATTTGGATACACCTATAACTGTTTGTTCCAGAGGGTAGCTGTGCTGGTCTGCAAAAGAACAGCTAGATTTGAGTCCAGCAGTACCTTAGAGACAAGGCTTTGGGGGTTTAAGCTCTTGAGAATCAAAGGTGTCGTCATCAGATACTGAGAAAGGGAGCTTTGAGTCTCAAAAGCTCATATAACAAAAAATCTATTAGTCTCTAAGATGCTACTGGACTCCTATCATACGGTGACGTGCCCCTGCCACCATTGACCTTTATGCTAGCAGTACCTGATCAATGACGATAGTAATGCTAGAAAAAGTTAAAGGTAGCAGGTGTTAGAAAAGTCTCCTGTCTCAGACTTCAGGAGGTCCCCGTAGATTTAGTCAGACAGACAGGTAAGGACACACAGAGCATCCTTTCCTTCCTGTTATCTGATCCTATCCCTTTGAAGCAGAATGCTATTCTTAGGGATGAGTTTCCTTCCTTCCGGCTTCACCCCCACACACACACACACAAACAAAGGAGGAGCACATTTTCCCTGTATCCACAACCATCGTAGTTACAGAGGTTAGATTCTATTTCTGTTTCTCATCTACACTGTCTAGAATGGAGTTCCATATAAAAAAGAACTCTTTATTAGTTTTGAATCTGATTACTGGCGCTGTGAAACTCTGTAAGCTTGCAAGTGCACTCAGCACTGAGGTTTCGCGGTGTGGAAATGCTTCGTGCACTCCGCGACATTAGCAGTAGCAAGGAAGACCTGTGCAAGGAAGAGGCGACACAAGATGGATTGACTGAACCGAGAAAGCCACAAAGGCCCTCCGTTTGCAAGATCTGAGCGAGGCTGTTAACGATGGGACGTTTGGGAGGTCATTCACTCATGGGGCTGCCATGAGTCAGGAGTGACTTGATGGCACTTTACACACACACACAAACACACACACACAAACACCTGGACAGTTTCACCCCTGTATTTAGATGATTCTGAACCCCACATATTCAGATGGGAAGGATGCAGCCTTTAGATTTATGCAGCACACTTTCAACAACTATACAGAATTAACATTCTGAATGGGAAGAGTCCCTAGAGTTATGTTAAAAAGGTAAAGGTTCCCTTGCTCGAAAGCCAGTCGAGTCCGACTCTAGGGTTGCGGTGCTCATCTCCGTTTCAAAGCCGAAGAGCCAGCGCTGTCCGAAGAAATTTCCGTGGTCATGTGGCTGGCATGACTAAACACCAAGGTTCATGGAACGCTGTTACCTTCCCACCGAAGTGGTACTCATTTATCTACTTGCAATTTCTTGCTTTCGAACTGCTAGGTTGGCAGGAGCTGGAACTAGAGACGGGAGCTCACTCCATCACGCGGCACACTTGGGTCTCGAACTGCTGAACTACTGACCTTCCACAGCCTGCAGTTCAGCGTCTTAACCACTTGAGCCACGGCAGCTCCAAAGTTATGTTATCTATCACTAAAAAGAAAATCACGATTGTCAGACGCAGAACAGAATTAACGAAACGAAACGAGAGGTGTGCCGATTAGACAGCAACACATACCTGCTCCAAACGCGAAGAAGAAGCTTTTGTCAGGATACTCTTCCAACAGATCTTTCACCCTTTTGCCCATTCTCTCATTCCGCTTATAGATAAGCTCCTGTCGAAAGTAGCTGTCGATTTCCTGAGCGGTGATGCGTTCGTGAGGAGGCAAAGTGGCATTGATGAAATTTGGGACCTGTGCCAGGAAGAGAAGAGATGTTTAAAGGGCAACAGGAATTAAGATTAAATAGTATAGCCCTCAACGCCCTATGGGAAATGCGTGTCGGCTGCCAATCAGTGTTTCCCTGATTATGCTCAGCAAAATACACTCAGACCAAAATTACTGCACTCAGCATTTTCCTGTCAGCTACAACAGTTCGCTAGCCATTCTTTGCAATGGGATGACATCAAGTCATACATTTCTTCTGCTAGACATTTGTGGGTAGACAAGAGTTAACAGCAACCAGGCATTCTTCAAAATATCTAGTTAGCCATCTTAAATTCATTCAGACATAGCAAACTTATCATAAGAGAACATTTAATTGTTTGGGTACAGAAAAATTTAATTGTTTTGGTACTTTTGCCACCAAATGAGAAGGGAGCACTCACTGGAGAAGACCCTGATGCTGGGAAAGATAGAAGGTCAAAGAAGAAGGGGACGGCAAAGGATGAGATGGTTAGACAGTGTCACCGATGCAATGAACATGAAATTGAGCAAACTTCAAAGGACGGCAGAAGACAGGAGGGTCTGGCGTGATCTGGTCCATGGGGTCGCGAAGAGTCGGACTCGACTGTGCGACTGAACAACAACAACAGAAAAAGTTCTACACAATATTCTGGACTTCTATTGCAAGGAAGAGGAAGAGGAGGAGGAGGAGGAGATTGGATTTATATCCCACCCATCACTACCCAAAGGAGTCTCAGAGTGGCTTACAATGGACACCCTGTGAGCAATGCTCCCTCTAAGCTGTGGAGTCTTGTGAGCAAAATTTTACTTTGTGAGCTACTGGCATTAAAGTTGTGGGCGAGCAATTTGGTTACTGCATAAATTAGTTATCTCTGGAGCCATCCTTCCTGAGCTGAGACAAAAATGTGTGAGCTGGAGGCTAAAAAGCTGTGAGCTAGCTCACACTAAGTCAGCCTAGAGGAACACTGCCTGTGAGGTAGGTGGGGCTGAGAGAGCTCTTTTGAGAACTGCCCTTGAAAGAACAGCTCTGAAAGAACTTATGACTGACCCAAGGTCACACCAGCAGCTGCATGTGGAGGAGTGGGGAATCAAACCTGGTTCTCCCAGATAAGAGTCCGTGCTCCTAACCACTACACCAAACTGGCTCTCCCTCAGTTGGGGTTGTTAGCCTCCCTCAAGCCCTGCCTCCCCACCTAAGTCAGATGACAGAGCTCTAACAAAATCCCTGTCTTAGATCACCAGTTCTCTACTGGGTTTGATTCATAACAAGCCACACCAAATGCCCATATCAAAAAGGTTTTACGATAGAAACACCAAGTTGGATGCTGCAGGATCATTAATTTCTGTCTCCAAGGTCTCCAGAAGGAAATCATTGAAAACATTACTTAAATAAAAGCGATCTTTTGTGATTTGCAAAAGTAGAATTCTTTTTGTAGTTCACCTTACCCTTCCAAATACTTTTTGATATAGTTTTCATTAACTAACCATGGTTTTGTGCAATGTTCCTGCTGAGCCAATAACTATTAATTTCACTTATATTAAAACTTCCTCCAACTTCCTCCTGTGCAAACGACCATTTTGCAACCAATTATGGAAATCCAGCAAAAAAGCTTCACGGAAGTAACTGTATTTACTCAAAAGGAAGACGATACTGAAAGCAAGACGATTCTCCCTTAAAAAAATGTTATACACAAGAAGTTTTTTAAAAATTTATCATAGGACATAAATAACTTGTATGCAAATTTCAGCTGACTCTCTCCCTGTTTTGGTTGGCATGCCTGGGGAAATCCCTAGTCTTGCATGTGAAATCGTAGAAATGTGGCCCTGTAATTCAAAAACAACAACAAAATGTTCACCCTTGTTTTAACAGCAAATAGTGCACTTTTAAAATCTCTCTCTCTCTGTGTCATATTTGATTAGCAGGAGGACATGTGAAGTGAAAGACACCGAGGGGACAAGACTCACTTGAGACGTGTCATGATTGAAGATGATGGAGTTGAGGTCTCCACAGTTGTAATGCTTGATAAGGTCCTCCGTCGTGTAAGGGATCTGAAGGCTGCCGGCGCGGAGATTCTCTTGCTGCAGAAGTGTCTGATTCAAAGCAAAGATCACCTAGGTGGTGGAAGGGGAAGAAAAGGTAGGGATCCTCGTAAGGCCTTGACTCATTAGCTGAGAAACCTCGACCCCCCCCCACCCCTAGCCATACCCTTAATAACTGAAGCTTAAAGGAAACAAAGACCATTTTTATACAGAACCCTAAGAGGTCATGGTGGTCTACTGATCCACTGTACAGTTCAAAGTATTTACTGGCGTGCCGAAAGACTAACTTTCTTTAATAGTAAAAGACTTCCTAAAATTTTAAAATGTTCACATCCAACGGCATGTTACGCACATGATGATGTGCAACTTCCCCACAACTTTAAAAAGCAGTCAGGCTATAATTCTAAGTTCCGCGCTGGGACAGGGGAGAGGCTGCTTAACCCTTTCCCTTCCCCAAGCTGTTTTCATCACCCCAGACTGCCTACCGGATGGTCACCAGTGTGCCCTTGGGTTGCCAGCTCCTCTCTGGCCACCGGCAGGGGATGGAAGAATAGGGTAGCCTGGTCCAGGTTGGGGAACTCCTGGAGATTTGGGAACGGAGCCTGCGGGGGACAGGGACCTCAAGGGGTACAATGCCATGGAGTCTACCCACCAAAGCATCAATTTTCTCCAGGGGAACTGATCTCTGTAGTCTGGATATGAGCTGCAATTCTGGGGGATCCCCAGGGCCCACCTGGAGGCTGGCATTCCTAGCGTGGCCCCAGGGGAAAGGATTTAACAGCTCTTCCCTTGTCCCAGGGCTCTGGTTCAAAGCTGCAGCCTAGCTTTTTGTTGTTGTTTTTAAAGGTTGCACTTGGTGTAGAAAAATAAAAGAAAAGCACAAGCAAACCCTTTCCCCCTATGCTCCCTTTATAATTGCAGCCTGGTTGCTTTTTGATTTTAAGCGTGAGAAAAGATACACAATACTGTATGTAAACGGAACTGCATGCAGGGCTATTTTTGGGCAGGAGCGCACAGGAACGGAGTTCCGGCTGGCTCCCAAGTTGGCCACACGCAGCAGGAACTCATTAGCATAATAGGCCACACCCAACAGCAGAAACTCCATTAGGATTGGCTACATTAGGGGTGTGTGGCCTAACATGCAAAGGAGTTCCTGCTACAGAAAAGCCCTGGGTAGGGTTGCCAAATACAGAAAACATACCGGCGGGGGAGCGTCCTGCCGGTCCGGGAGCCGTTTCCTGAAGCGCGCCGCCAGAACGTCACTGGAAGTGACGTCACACGCTGGGCGGGGCCACGCCATTTGAGGGGAAAACAAAGAGTTTCCCCCTCAAATGGCGTGGCCCCGCCCCCAGCGTGCGACGTCACTTCAGGGTGACGCGCATGCCGGGGCGGAGTTCCCCCCGGGCCCCGATTCCCCGGCGTCGGGTAACGGGCCTCCGAAGCGGGGGGAATTCCGCCCTACCGGGGGGTGTTGGCAGCCCTAGCCCTGGGTTTTGACAACAAACAAGGTAAACAGAATAACAAGCAAAAGGTGGGTGTGGCTGGATAACCACACTTCTGGTAACATGGGGGTGCAGCCTAATGTGCTAATGAGCTGTGCTGTCAGGGGTGTGGCCTAATATGCTAATGAGTTTCTGGTGTTGGGTGTGGCCTATTATGCTAATGAGTTCCTGCTGGGCTTTTCCTACAAAAAGAGCCCTGAGTCTGCATGGAATGTATAATTTTCTCGCCAAACCCGGAAACAGCAGCTTTCTTGGCACTAGAAGCCCACTGCAGTTGATGTCCCTAGAAGGGTATAAGTCTGCTTAGGGACAATACCGTTCAATCACCTCAACTTGTGGTTTTCAACAGCTCTATGACTAAGGGGAAGTAGTTGTTTTTCCCCTCAGGGAAGCCACAGTATTCCAAATACACTGCAAAAAAAAAAAAAAATTATAACAGTGTGACAGTAAATCTTCACTCTATCAGCATCACACTGTTTCTCTATTCCTCTGCTGTGTGGAATGGGTTTCCTCCTGCCAGCGTTCCTTAATAGGTATCCTTTCTAAATAGCAACGGACATTTACCAATAACGTGAAGCTACTGCAAAGTGCATGAGGTAAAAACCGAGGCCTGCTTATCAAGAAGGTGAATAAGGTTGCAGTTAAGAAGCCGATATTCTTTTCAAGTTCAGTAAACAGTGGTGGCTTTATGACAGATGTACCATTCAAGCTAATAGCAGTTATAAATGGAACGCTTTTTCTGCAGGAACAGAACCTAAAAGCTTCCCAATATAGATGCTGTAGCTAATGTTATCATATCAGGCGATTGTGATACCAGGTGCAGCTTCAAACAGGGCGCCCTTTGTGGAAAGTTTATCTTTGGTACACAGTTAAGTGACCTACAGTCCCAGGCTTTCATAACCTAGGAAATTCCTGAGTGTGTGAATTTTAACTCCCCCCCATGTCTTTGTTCACTGGTAACAGGTGGTGAAAGGTGGTGGTGGAAAGAATAACAAATGGAAACTTTTTTTTTAACGATATTGGTCCCCAAAATGCAGTTCCCGTTTTCTTTTTCTGTGTTAAAGATGGGAAGAGGAGGAGGAAAAAGAGGATTTATATGGTTTTTCTGAGCATTCAAAGCACTTCATACACTATCTCAGTAAGCGTGACATCAGCCACACATGGGAGATCAGTATGAGCTCCATAGTGTAGATGGTGGCTGAAGTCGAGGGTATCTCAAGGCCTTCTGGTGTGAGTTGGTAGCCAGGGTGAGATTTGAACCAAGAACCTCCTGGTTAAGTCACTTAACCACTGCGCAACACTACCTCTAAGAGCCAGTTTGGTGTGGTGGTTAAGTGTGTGGACTCTAATCTGGGAGAACTGGGTTTGATTCCCCACTCCTCCACTTGCACCTGGCTGGATGACCTTGGGCAAGCCGTAGTTCTGATAAGAGCTGTTCTTGAAAAAGAGCAGTTTCTGTCAGAGCTCTCTCAGCCCCACCTACCTCACAGGATGTCTATTGTGGGGAGGGGGAGGGGAAGGGGAAGGAGTTTGTAAGCTGCTCTGAGACTCCTTTGGGTAGTGAAGGGTAGGGTATAAATCCAATCTCTTCTTCTTCTAAATAATACATTCGTAGATTTTTAGACATTTTAAAAATAAGCACTGTAATCTGGGGACCGGCTTAGAACAACGTTCTTGCACATTCTATGCCTCCCAGAGTACATTCTGCCCTCACAGGACCCTTTCTGGATCTGCCCCCCCCCCATGTTTAAATTTAAAAGGTCATATGTTTCTGCATCAGAGAGTTGCTTGGCTAGTCTGTAGGCAACCTCCACTTGCCAATTTTGAGATGCACATCATCATTCCTATTAGAAACACATCAACACAAAGAAGCACTGTGATGAAATTGATAATGACATTTAATAATTCCTATGAACACCAATAAAAACTTATGCAATGTAGCTCAGGAAATTCTACATTGAGCTACATTGCATAAGTTTTTATTGATGTTCACAGGTATTATTAAATGTTATTGTCAATTTCATCACAGTGTTTCTTTGTGTTGACATATTTCCTGCACTGTGATCCCTTCTTTGGTTTTCTCGGTTTCCTATTAGACCCAGGAATTACAATTCTAAGAACAACACTTCTTAAAGGCTGCAGCATGTAAGGAGGTAACAGCACCCATTATACCCTTCCCCACCCCACCCCAACACATGCAGATAGAGCTGTGCCCGTCATTACATAGAAGAGGAGGCCGGCATACACATTCCCTGTGTTCAGGTCTGTCTCAGCCTTGGCACTCCAATGAGCTTAGGGCTAGAACGCTCCTGTTGACCTTGAGTGAGTCCAAGATGAGGGAAAGGTTGCTTTTGTGGCAGGGAATTATAGTTGATATCAGTTTTATGTCTGATTGTTTATATGCCACTGCCCCTCTAAGACTAAACCATATGGCATTCTGGGAAAATGAAGGTGGCAGTTAGCATACTTCAGTGCTGAGTGATTTGGGGTCTGAAAGTGTTTTAGTTCATGTTTGGTGCGTTCTTAAGAAATCAAAAATCAAAAATATCTACACATCCTGCCTTTTCCCCTGAGTGAGGTGTAACATTTTCTCCCATTTTCTCCCCTCTAGCATGAAACTCGGGGATTGTGAAGGAGTCCCCGTCAGCCTTTGCCTGTGACGGTAAAAATACTCTCCAGCCGACTCACAAGACTGGCTCCTGCCCTCATTTTTGTGAAGCACAAAGTGCCTCATTTACAGCTGAGGCAAAATTGTGCCAGAGATACTGTGTACAGGCTGAGCCCGTAACATTTACTCAAAGTCATGTTGCACCTAGTTTAATAGGCCTTGCTCTTGAGGGTGGATGTGATTGTAGCCTTCATTGGGTTAACACTATTATACATCATATATAACTCCCTCGTGCCATTTCCCAGTGTCTGAGTCACATCGGAAAGGAGCAACAGTCTAATATTTCTTCACTTATTTAAACTCTTCATAGCAGGCATTTCTCCCCAATGGCGTACCAAAAAATGACAACCGGCATCATCAACATTAAAAGCAGTCACTAAAAAACAAACACCCAACAACAAACCCATGCCACAAAGCCCAACACAGAAAATCTTCATCAGTATGAACAAACATATGCCCTGAAACATCACTAAAAAGAACTGGCCTGCTATACTTCCTAAAGGCTGGTAGAGATAGTGCCCTCCAGAGCACCTTGGACACACGACTGAGAGAGCTGAAGAAGATCGAACACGCCTGAGGGGTGTCACAGCAAGAAAGGGCTGACAGGAGGGAAGCGACTGAGACACAGTCTTCCAGTAGGCAGATCCCAGGCCATAAAGGCCTTTAAAAAGCAAGAATCAGCACCTCAAAATGAGCCCAAGAAACAAACGGGCAACCAAGCATAGTTGTTTTAAAACTGTTGTGGTATATTTATACCGGCTTGTCCTGCTTAGATGCTGTGCACTTCCTTAAAATATGCTATGCTTGCCTCTCGGCTGCTTTTGAAGCTCTTCTCAAAGCCAATAACCTGAACACACGGGCAGCCACATTTGGCACAGACTGAAGTTTCAACGATGTCTAGC